ATGAAAAGCCTTAGGCTATTAAACATATTGAATGCCATATTCTATAGGTCTTTGAAGTGTTTGAAGACCATCTGTCTATCTAAATACATCTGTGTATGGCCTTGAAAACATATTTAATAAGACTATAAGTTTGACTATTATAGATGACTATTAATCTGTATTTCTTAATTATACATTACATTTTTAAATGAACTGCATAAACACACTATCTTATATAAGAGTAGAAATATACATACAGTGTAATAAAATTAACCTTAAATTTGTATCAATAAACCAAAATCCATACCAATGTAAACTATTTAAGGTTAATAGTTGTTTTTTGGATTAAAATAGATTGAGTCATATACTCTTGTATCCTGTCATTTCTATATCCCCCTTTTTTTCTTTTCAGAAAGAGATCCTTGAATCTAATCTCCTTTGTTTAGCTTTTTTTTTCCTGGTCATTACCAATAACAACTTGTAACCACTCCCCTCCCCCTTTAAATGATAATAAATATCCATAGCCCATCTTTTGGGAATGTGGACGTGGTTTTCTAGACTACTTCCTGTTGATTGGGGTTACTGGCAATCTTTGGGAGACCCTGAGAAAATTCAGGATTATGGTTAAGTCCTGACTGGAATAGTCTGTGAGACTGGATCATCTCAGCCAGCAGCCTTGAAGCTGTTCTGGATGCAGAATTCTGAGGAGACTGTAACAGGCATTTTGAAATGCTGGCTTACCTGGGCCACACATTTTCATTGGTATCTGGTCTCCCTGCTCTGAAAATACACAAATTTTAAAGGCGACATATATATCTGCATTAATACAAGCATAGACATTGTACACAAGCCAGGCAAAGATGATTTTTTTATTATGTGTTTGAGCAGGTAAAATATACATCACATGTCTTGTTGTTCTTTTTGTTTATTTCTTTATGTTTGTAGCCAGGATTTTCAGGGGGTCTTCCTCAATAAAAGCTGATTTTCTATAATCAAAAATGATTCCAGAGCCTCTTATTTCCTGTGGAAATAAAATCATAACCTCTCCCCAAAGTAACTTATCTTTTGACTTAAATTTTCAAGTCAAATTTTTTTAAATATATAGCTTGGTTGAATCTAGCAGTTTTTATAATCTAGTGTCTCTTAGCAGCCAAGGAATTTAAAGACAACACAATAACATACAGGATTCAGACACTCTGTGTATTTCCCATGTTTATGTGGCTTGTTATATTTTTTATTACTCTATCCCCTTTTTAAGGACTTTTTTAAAACTCTTTTTAAAACTCTTTTCTTTTCTCTCTCAAGCCTACATTTATTTCTAAACACACTGTAACCTGTTAAGAGGTTTTTTTTTCTGTCTGAATCTGTCTTTACTGCACATCTGTAACCTTTCCTGTCTACATGAGCAAAAATCCTAAACCTGTCATGTAACATGCTGGCAGAGCTATCAAGCACACAGGCAGCAGCTGGGAGAAGCCTCTCTGTACTGCGGCCCATTTGAGAGACCACAAAAACCCACCATACTACTTAGATCATGGCAGTTGGTGGCCAGCTCCATCTTGCAGGAAGCTGTTGGGTGATGCATCTCTGCACTGCAGCTGGCATGAGACTGTGAGACTAGGAAGCTGCATCTGGCTCTGTTTTTATGTGTTTAGAACCTTTTTAAAAAGATTTTTTAGGTCTTATGTGGATCTAAGCCAGATGGTGTGTACTATGTGTAGTTGGATGTTTTTGTCCCATTCACTAGTTCCCAAATAACTGATACTGAGGCTTAATATTATTTATAAATGTTCAGCCAATAGCTCAGGCTTGTTACTAGCTAACTCTTTCACATAAATTAACCCATATATCTTATCTATCTATGTTTGGCCACATGGCTCATGACTTATTACCTCATTTTCTATATGTTCTGCTCCCTCTGCATCGAACTGTCATCTTCTAACTCCATTCTTCCTCCTCCTATCATTCTTAGTTTGGCTTTCCTGCCTAATTTTATGCTGTTCAGTTATTGGCCAGTTTAAACCAATCATAGTGACTTATATTTACATAGTGTACAGAAGGATTATACCACAGTAGGAATGTATCTTAGCTTGGCTTCTAGAGATGGTTGCTACATTCCATGTGTTTGTTTTAAACTCAATAGAACTACTTTTTTTTTTTTTTTTACTAAAAATTACAGACTCAATACAAATATGGTGAGGAAATTTCACAAGAGGACTTGGAGAAGGTATTACACATAGGATTACTCCCATGCTAGGCACACATTCGACCAACTAGCTGTGCTGTGTCTCTAGACCAAGATATAATATTTCCACCTCACATTTTTGTGTGGAGATTTAATCAAATCTGAATTTTTGCACTTGTTGTTTCAGGCCTATTAAAGACCACACAAGGTTGAGTTTTGAAATCTGAAATCAGTTAGAATTAAATTCCTTTTACAGCTGAGAATCTGGGCCTAAAGAGAATAATGACTTCTGTAGGTCCACATAGCTGTTTCAAATATTCATCTTTATATTTTGGATCTCCTTTGTTTTCTGGGAGGCACCACATGTTACAGTACACAGTAGTGAGGTTTGCATTCTCTAGACTGCATTTGCTAAGTTCTAAGACCCAGCAAAACTCATGAAACTTATACATGTGATATGACCTCAGTCAGTATTTCATTTTGTTGCTATATTTTCCTCAAGAAAATCCTGATTATTCCTATAATCTGCTATGAACCACAAATCAAATGTGCATGGCAGATGGAATTATTATCTTAAATCTCTATCAGCCAAATTGACATTGAATTTTCCTATTCAAAAATTCTGGTGCAGGGTTCATGGAAATTGTGAAGTTGTGTTCTGTGGTTACAAACTTCAGCCCAGGACTGAGAAATGAGATTCAACCATCTTCATAGTTAGAGGATGTAGAATTATGCAAGCTCAGAAGCAAGTTACAGTCTCTGTCCCCATGAGTTCTGCAAAGAAAGATGCTGAAGCAATGAGTGATGAATGGACAACAGTGCTTTGATTGTTTATGCAGGAAAGTTGCTTCCCTACTGAGCAAAGGTTAGAAGACAAAAAAATACCTGTCTGTCCTGCACTAGAGTCTGAAGTGAGTATAGGGATCCCAGGTCAAACTAGAGTAGGATTTTAAAGAATAAATAAAAGTGCAATTCCTGGGAAAGCTGTTGCTATAGGATGGTCATGAGCTCTGACAGAAGTCACCGAAGTGAAAATACCAACTTGGACAGTAGGATCTGCTGAGCCTCATTTGGTTCATATGTAGCTGGAGTTCAGATACCTTCCCTGTAGGTGTATGGTAGAAGTGTACAGAATTTTATGGGATGGCCAACCTGTAACACACAGTGTCCATTTATGTGTCATTGCTTCTGAAATTACCTTACATTTTGGTTGTTAATTATTTGTATGTCTTCATTACTACATTCACCAGATGCTGACAAGTGGCATTCCCAGGGGCGCTGTAAAAATACCAAGGACATTAAATCTTCTAGATGTTAGAATACAACATCTTTTAGATTGGTTCTACTTACCAGCAGTGGGAATTACTAAAGAAAATGTAATCAGGGAAATAGGTAATAATTAAACCACTTTGAAATGATAAGATAAACAGTAGCTTGAGAAAACCATGCCTTAAAAACAGACCACAGCTTGCTGTGTTCTTTGCTGCATAGCACGTGTGCAGAAGGAACCAAGCAGCAGAGGAGCTCCATTCAGTAGTCTCTGTGCTTTGTGTCTTCTGTGTGCCCCTGTTATGGTTTGCATGTGAAACAGCTCTGCCTTATTGACTTTTCTGTCACTCTGATAAAACACCATGACCAAAAGAAACTTCTAGAAGGAGTTTATTTTTGGCTTAGGGTTCCAGAGGGATTAGAGTCCATCATGACCATGTTCCAGTGAATATATGGGCAACACAAATTGGACTTGATAGTTTTCTTTTTCTTTTCTTTGGGGGAGATCCAAGGGAGGTGGGTGGACATGGGAAGATGGGGGAAGTGAATGTGATCAGGGTGCATTATGAGAGCTTTAACCACAAGCACAAAGCAGAAAGAGAGAACAGGGAGTAGGATGAGGCTGTATATAATCTCAAAGCACACCCCAGTGTCTTACTTCCTCCTGCAAGGCCACACTTCCAAGCCTCCCCAAACAGGGCCACCAACTTGGAACCAGTTATTCAAATACCCAAGCCTGTCAGGAACATTTCTCATCTGGTGGGCCTCTGGAGGCTTCATTGTGGAAAGAGACTTTTGTGCCTGTTCTGAATAGCTGTTGGCTAAATCAGACAGCTATCACACCTGAAAGAGAGAGCGGAAGGATTAGAGAAGCAAGAGGAAAAGGGGGTGAACAGCCAATGGCAAGGCAGGAGGAAGGATAGGCAGGGTTGGCAGGCAAAGAGAACATATAGAAGGAGAAATCTGGGAGGAGAAGAAGGAGCAAGAACAAGGAAAGGAGGATGCTAGGGGCCCGGCACCCAGCCACCCAGCCAGCCAGCCAGCCAGCCAGCCAGCCAGCCAGCAAGCCACACAGCCAGCCAGCCAGCAAGCCACCCAGCCACCCAGCCACCCAGCCACACAGCCACCCAGCCACACAGCCACACAGCCACACAGCCACCCACCCAGCCACCCACACAGCCACCCAGCCACCCCAGCCACCCAGGCAGCCAGACAGACAGTCAGCAGTGGAGTAAGAGTAAAAGTAAGATCACAGAAGTAAGAAAAGAAAAAATCCCAGAAGCAAATGTGGATGGGATAATTTAAAGTTAGGAAAAGCTGGCTAGCAACAAGGCAGAGTATTAATAATTAAGAATAAGCTTCCATGTGTGATTTATTTGGGAACTGGGTGGTGGGACCCCCAAAAGAGCAAAAACAAACAACAACATCCACCATTTCAGATATTACTTTGGCTGATGGTTTCCCCTTGAATGTGGTGACATGGTTTGTTTGTTTATTTTCAAAAAAAAAAAAAATGTCTGCTGAATGCTGGATCAGATCAACCACTGACTGACAATTATTCTTTTAGGTAAAGATTGTGTTTCTTGGAGAGAGAGAAGCTGGCTCCTCCCACCAGAGAAATGACTGCCCCATTGCCGTGCCTTGTGATCACTGACCTTTGGTGTGTCTAGAGGTGTTCTGTGTTCCTCCTGTGTAGTTATATAGACCACTAAAAAGACATGTCTTCCAAGGCTGAGGTGTAATAAAATTAAGAATTTTTACATTTTTACAGCTTCACATACTTAAGTGGACCTGGAAGGAAAATGAGCTGGAAGTGCATGGCAGGGACCAGCCCAGTGAGTGGCAAGACAGCAGCGCTGTGGCTTTCATTCTGCTAAAAATGCAAGCGGTTTCATCTTTTGTTAGCAACTGTCTATGCTCTAGAGGGGAAAATAACAGCTTAGAAATATTACAAAACAGCATAGCACTTCCATGAGCCTCCTTCAACGGTCTGCTAGGAATTCTGGGCTCTACTGTTGTTTATCGTTTCTCTTAGTTGGACTCTGAGCAAGGTTAACAGTAACTTGTTTCCACCTCCCTCCCTCTCTTCCTCCAAATCACTTCAGTCAATAGTGCTATCTCTCTTCTTGTTTACCTTTGTATCGTTAAATGTGCTCAAACATCTATCAATTGATCTGCCAGCATTAAAAGATATCCTTTGCCTCCAGGGATTACAGATGATGTCATAGGTCTGACCACACCTCCTCTACCTTTGACCTACCTCTTCCTCCCTCACAAGTTTCCATTCCTTCCTGCTTTTCTTTGTTGTCAGGGGACAAATGTTGTGTTCTGTCACCCCAACCCCTGCCTCTGCTTCAGTCTTAGCTGTTAGCTCAGATGCTATGGGCTCTGTCTCATCTTTTTTAGCCCATACTAGCTGTGTTGAGAAATCTTCTAAGGAACAATATTTCTTGAGTTTTTATATGTCTTTTAAAAGATAACTTGGCTGAGTATTAAAACTTGTGTTTAAACTTCTTTCAAGTTCTTTTATTAATAGTTCTTGGGATATTTTCATTATGCACCCTACTGCTGCTGTGAAATACAGCTGTGGGAAAATAAAAGGCCAGGCTATTTATCCCTTTATAACAACAAGAACAAGAACAACAACAACAAGAACAAGAACAACAACAACACACACACACACACACACACACACACACACACACACACACACACA